TCAATGCTCGCAGCCATATTGGCCACTAAAATCGAAGTTTCCATTTCAACTGTAGCCCTCGAACTGGAACACGTAAGTTTTGTTAATTTATTTTTTATTGCCCGTGTAGACAGACCAACATACGGCCCACCTGATGGTGAGTGGTTACCGTCGCTCATAGACGTGAGCAATGCTAGGGGCTGAGCCAAGCCGCTGTCAAAAGTTCTGTATGACCTCCTCTAAAAGGTTTGAGATTTAACGTAAATGGAATATAGTTACTATTAAAATTAAAAGCAGCAAAACTACAAATTACATACATATACATAAATCTTAAATAACAAAATTGACGGTGTAGAGACAACAACTTAAATAGGCAACGGCCGCTTTAGTTTAAAAAGTATGATGGTAATTATTACTTAACAGTAGCATCTTTATCAGAGACAACGTTATGTTCACGATTGATTCATTAATGATCTAACAACAGAAAAACCTTAACGTGTTAGCGTTTATTAATGCTAACGTTAAGGTTTATTAAGGTGTATTATTATACATTATTCTTGAATGTCTAAAATTATCCACTAATACAGAATTCACTTACGATACTTCTCCGCAATGTCCCTAAAACTTAAAATACCGTGAATAAATTTAAACTTTGAAACTTTTATAAAACTAGGTCTATATTTTAATACGCCCTATTATGCTAAAATTTGTAAACACATAATAAAAATGTTTTGACGGCACAGGTCTTGCAGGCTTAAATAATATAATAAAAGGATGTGATCTTTCCGTTTTTAAAAAAAAATACAGAGTTCGGGGAGGGAGGGAGGTTTGGTTATTTGGTTTAAACGTCACTTCGCATAACACGATACATTTATCTTAGTAATTAACAGTGCATAAACAGTTCGATGTTTTTGATTGAGCTTCAATTAAGTTTACTCCATTAAAATAGCTGAAAAAGTTTTTTTTTTGGTTAAGATATTTTTTCGTAATTATAAACTTTATATAGCTCTGCTGTAAAGTTGCAAAAACCAAATACCTTTCACCCGGCTATGTTTCGTTTATTCAACGCCAATAAAACTAACGAAACATAAGTTGGGCCTTATGATTTTTTTTATCCTACATATTATTATTATCAAACATATATGGGTAAGATATTTACGACGATTTTTGTTTTTTTCTTTCTTTTTTATTGCTTAAATGTGTAGACGAGCTCACAGCCCACCTGGTGTTAAGTGGTTACTGGAGCCCATAGACATCTACAACGTAAATGCGCCACACACCTTGAGATATAGTTCAAAGGTCTCAGTATAGTCACAACGGCTGCCCCACCCTTCAAACCGAAACGCATTACTGCTTCACGGCAGAAATAGGCGGGGCGGTGGTACCTACCCGTGCGGACTCACAAGAGGTCCTACCACCAGTAATTACTATTGTAGTATTTTTACTAAAAAAGACTTTCTAATTCTTGGATCGACAACATACTATCCTAGTCAGAAGTTTTCATGTTTACTGCAAATAAAATGTCACTATTCAAATCAAAGTGTTAAATTAAATAGTGTCAGTAAATTATAAGGTGAATAAAAATATGCACAATAAAAACATATGATATAATAATCATTAAAATTAGCAAATGCAGTTAGTTTAAATGTTTTTGTATGCCTTTTTAGGTTATGCCGTTAGGCCGGTATTGTCTAAATTCCAAAGGTGTATTTATTAACGTATCATGCATCAGATCAGCTTGTAGTGGAATACTAACAGTGCCAACTCTGTAATTTTCGGCTAACGATATCCAATACTGTTCAAAAATAAGTCGAAAATGTTGTTTTACTCGGATAGAAAGACTCACGGCTCACAAAGTGTTTTGTGGTTACGGAAGCTCACAAACCAAAACCACCGCGCAGATTCAAACATACGAGTATTATATATTAATAAGAAGGAAGACTATCCCAAGCTTCTAATTACAAAGTTGAATCACACTACATGTAAATACAGTCCCATATAAATACCTACCTACGCTATTTTCCTACCAATTACATTTTTGTTATCAACAAAATGTCCTATACATACATATGCTGAGCAATTAATTCCTAGATTTTATAGCCATGGCACAATGTGGTTACGCGCTTTTGTAGGCCTTATCAACCACTGTGATTGCTACTGAAACAATATCTGAGTTTGACTTTAAAATAGACGCATTTAACTCGACACGGTAGATTTTATTTTTCACGTAATTTAAGGATAACACTAATAATATGATTGATGTACGACAAAAAAATGCAGCTTACATCCAATTGGTTATTTAATTATGGGGCCGTTGGTATTGATATTAAGATTGTTTAACATATTTTGAGCAAATCTAAGTTCAATTACTTTCAAAATTCATCATAAACGAAAGGAACATAATATACCATCAATCCGAATGTCAGTAAAACTGTAGGTATAAAATTTATTTAAATAACGTGCGTCTTATTTAACAAGTGCAATTTGGTCTCCTGTACCACAAGTCAGATTTTATTGTCACGTTTATCATTGCACACCAATTTGAGCCGTAATCTATAAGATTTTTTTTTTCTTTTTTTTTGCTTTATATCAAATTACCTAATCAGTAAGCACATATGAGCATTAAATTAAATCTATACAATACAAAATATATTAATTTCTTTTCTTGTATCTTTGCCCCACTTGTAGTTTGTTAAATATAGTTTGATACTTACTACGCTAGAAGACAAAGTATCATAGTTAGTTCATACGGACGATTTCCTTCTGCCCCAAAAATATTAGAGTCCATAGACATCACAAAGGAATGCCGCCGCCCGCCTTGAGACATGAGTTCGAAGTCGCAAATCTATTATATCCTAAAAAAATTATTGCCTTCGTAGGCAGACGAGCATACGGCCCACCTGATGGTAAGTGGTTACCATAGCTCATGAACGCCAGCAATGTCAGGGGCAAAGCCAAGCCGCTGCATACCATTCAATACTCTCCGCAAGCCTCGTTTGAAGAAGGACATGTCATAGCGCTCGGAAAACACCGTGGAGGGGGATCATTCCAAGGCCGGATGGTACGTGGCAAAAAAGACTACGTACATACGTATGTATTGTTATAAACGATTTTCTAACTTAAAACTATAATCCTAATCACTAAATTCTTGATTAAATATTTGAAAACAGTTAAAGAGAATACTGACATTTACATAATTATTCATTCTAAATAGTCTTGATTACGTGACTATGTGATAGTATTTTGTAATTGTTTATAGAAAAATTCAGAAGGAAACCACTTAATTTTTACGAACAACATCTAGAGAGAGGGAAATATTCTATTTGTTATTTTTAAATAATATTTAATATTAGGTAGTATTGTAAAGATAAATTTAAAGATCTATTATATGTATACTAATAAAAGGTGACTTATCTTCCCTTTTATTAAGAACGGTATTCATTAAAATGTCTTCTACTACGAGTGCATTCATCTGTTTGTAAAAAAACATTAAAATTTTATTGCATTTCAAGTACATAATTAATTAATTTTACGTTTTACCAATCGAAACCAATAGTTGAGATACATATCGACGCTTGAAAGGCAAACGTGACTAAGCGACAATAACTGATTTAAATGATAGGCAATAACCATATTCGATGCGCAAAAAATATATATTTCTAGGTCTATTAAAATCATTTCAATCCTACAGCTGCTAGCTAGATTCTACTACAGCTAGATTCGTTAAAATAAATTTTGTTTTCATGTATTTCAACTTTAAATTAGTCTACTGTAAAGTTCACGCATTGTCGCTTAGTCACGTTTGCCTTTCAAGCGTCGATATATAATATAATTAAAGCTCATAAAACCGATCCTCGTTTATATAGTAGCTACCGAGTTATTTTTAATATTACAGAGTTGATTTTTTGTCAATCACTATTGGAATTTCTTTGGAATAAATATGTAGTTATCTTAATTTTGTTTTTCTTTCTCTATTCAAACGACAGGTTAACGAATATTTGCTAGTTGCTTTCTTTTTAACAGGCGCTTTGTTGTAAAAATTACTAATACAGATGAATGCACCTATACTCTTATGCAAGTAAATTTTAATTTGATACATTATCTACTTTATTCGAACGTCTTAGATATACAATAAACACTTCGATATTTATAAACATCTTTTAACAATTTACGAAAACTTAGTAACAAGAACGAGACTAACTAACGACAATCTTATAGGATTAAAATTCAAGTCAAAATACTAATTAAGGGAAATAATAAGAAATAAACACAACATCAAGTCATTTGTTGCACGAAACAAAAACCGATCATAACGATATTAAATGTGAAATAAATATTAAATAGCTCAGATAAACTATTATTTAGATTTTTTGACGAACACTTAATTTATTTAAGTGTTACAGAATTATTAAGATGGCGGAAAAGCATTTTATTTTAACGATTTTACATGATATTCGACACGATCTTACTAGCCCTTAGTTATAAAACCAAAATTTCGTAGACTTGAATCCAAAAAAAACACTAAACAGCTACAAACATAAAAACATACATTTTACAAGCTAACAATGATATGAAAACATTAGACTCCGCTACAATTATTATAAAATAACAAAAAATAATTTAATTTTTTTCTTAACACTGTCATGCTACAATATAATAATTTTAATAGCGATAAAGATATTGTGATTTTAACAAACGTATTTGCCAATTTATTTTAGAAAAAAAAAAAACACTTACTTTACCACTCAGAAAAATAAACATTATGTTAAGCGTATTTATTACTTTTAAGAAAATTCTTAACCTCAAATTTTAGTGCGAAAAGTTAATCAATACATATATTATTTCTATGTCAAGGGTTTTTTTAATACAAAGGTCAAGGACCCGCAAATTTGTGCTTTGAGTCATATCGAATCGTACGAGAAAACTGATGTGTTGAAAAGCATCACATCTTCGAGAATTAAAAAATCTGTAAAACAACAGCTGCAACGGCTAACTACATTTATTAATAATTTTATGAATAATTAGTAAGTGCCGTCATCGGTGAGATTCTGGTGGGGATCAGTGGGAGGCTGCACTTGCTCGGTCTGATAGTAGGCGCCCGAGACGAATGGGTTGTTGGGAACGTGCTGCTCGAATCCGATAGGCCGCTGCGGGACTATCGCGCCGTAAGCTGGCGCCTCCGAACCCTTAAGAGGCGCTGAGGGTTTCTCAGTCTGCAACGGGAAATTTACGTTATTTTTGGAATAATATACACGAATATGTATTATTGTGGAACGTAGATGATTAAACGAACTTGCCCATTTAGATTTAACCGGCGATCGGACTATAACAGGACATACATTTCGAGACATGAAATCTGGTTCCAAGTCCTTTAGAACACGAGCAATACAACCAAAATTGATAGTTTTTGTTATTGCAATGGAAATTGCTTACAGACAAACAGGGGAGTAGAACAAACAAAAGAATATTAATAGAAAGAAAAATATAGTAAACTAGCGGCCCGCTCCGGCTCCGCTCGGATCTTTAACAAAAATTTCAACGATATTTGACGTTGTTTTATTTTTTTAAATAAAAGAACACTTATTGTGGCATAACTATAGTACTTAGACATACTTTGTCATGACACTTTTTGTAAATAATAATGCGTATTATTTTATTCTATCATTAATGTGGGCACGCGATCTAAATAATATTTTAGGTAATTTTTTTACATCTTGGGTTACGTTATAGGAGTTTTGGTAAGGATCCCTTTTTTTTCAAAAAAGATTATACCCTATGTCACTCGGGAATAGTGTAGCTTCTAAACAGTGATAGAGTTTTTGAAATCGGTTCAGTAGTTTTGGAGCCTATTCAATACAAACAAAAAACAAACAAATCTTTCCTCTTTATAATATTAGTATAGAAGTATAGATTATATTCTAAATGAAGACTTCCTTAATGACGAGAATTCACGGCTACTTACGAATGTGGTTTCTTGTTCTAAAGACTTGGAATAAGTCGTGGGCTCTTCACACCCAGTCTCGGCCCAAGGCTGAAGTTCGCCAGAAGCGAAGATACCGTAAATAGTGATACCAATGAAATGTACGGTCGCACCCATCAGGAACACTTCTCGCCACTCGGTTATAGCTTTCTCTTGTTTATCCTATAATTATAGGTATTTATTACTAACTAGTTGACCCGGCAGATTTCGTTGTGCCTCAATCGATAAATAAAAGACCTAAACTTTTGTGTAAAATAAACTTAAAATAAACAAAAGGAATCCGTCCGACGGGGGACACATCAAAGGGAAAACAAAATTGTTAGTTTTATTTATATTCCGAACATTTTCACATATATCTACCTTTTAAACCTTCTCTGGACTTCTACAAATAATTCAAGACCAAAATTTGCCAAATCGGTCCAGACGTTCTGGAATTTTAAGTGACACTAACGAACAGCAATTTATTTTTATATGTATAGATAGCTAGATTGCACGTTTATTATTAAATTATTTATTATACAAGCATTCTGGAAAATAATATTGAGCGTCATTAAAATAAATATGATTCATCACGGGAAGGCTGGCAGATGTGAAACATTGATATTATTTTGTACAGGTATAGATGCATAAAAGGATAGTTTACGCCAGGAAATCATGGGCATAATGAAAAATAAAGTATTATTAATATTAAGAAACTATCGCTTGCGCATGGTGTCGTCACACCGTACACACTATTATATAATAAATACTTCTGTAAAGCGCGGCGACGCGTCGTGGGTATCATAAACCCGTACGGGTAAGTACTAGTATTGGTCGTATTTCTGCTGCAAGGAAGTCGTGCGTTTTATTTGTATTTTTTTTGGTCAGGAGGAAAGTGCCGAACTTCCACCCCCCTCTAGGGATGGCGGACGGAGCATGTCCGAGTCGAACCGACTAAAACCTCCTGTCGCTCAACAACCAACTCCAAACCTCGCAAGTAACAGAACTCATGAAAAGGCAAAGGGTGGAAATTATTTCTTCGTGGGGGGAAAGTGAAGGGTTTAGTGCGGAGCACATCTCTCCCATCACCATCCCCTCGGGACGCCGGACCAGCGGTCGTTGGCGCCACGACCACCAGCCCTCTCGGTCGGCAGGCTATCCGAAGCCCGCCTAGATGGCGCTGGTTAGCGTGAGTTATCCTACGGAATACCCCGCTGACTCTGAACCAGCTTGGGTCGAGGATAACCGGCCTTCCATCACCTGGATGCTCTTGCATAAAACGCGTGCAGACTTCTATAATGAAACAGCGGCAATAAATAAATGTTCATAAAAATAGTCCACGATTGGCTTAACAAAAATATAAAGTGTGACGCGAATATCTCTAGATTTAAGATATTAAAATTCATAAGAAAGCTTCCCGCTTTAAAGGCTTATTTATTACGTATACAATACAGGAGTCATTCGTGCGCGCTCCTGGTTCCGGCCGATGCTGTAATAAAGTGCTCAGCGCGGAATGTACTACAGGCGTAACGCATCGTCGCGCACCCACAAAGCTGTTCATTTCATATTCTAAGCGCGTGTTGCGCTGAGCTCGATTTCCTTTTTTAAATTAGCCACGGACGAATGTATTGTTTCGCGGGTTTTCGAGTCTTCACTAGGGTGTTAGTTGTCATGCGAAATTCGTAATTCGAATAGCCGATAAGCATTTTATTTATTTCGACATCGACATAATTTAATATGTGTCTCAATTCGGTCTTAGAGATGTAATTGTAATTGTTACGATGGCATTAGCTTACTGTATTGAAATTTAGAAAAATATCATTGTATTTAAACAAGGATTGTTTAATGAGTGTAATGCAGTCTGCTACTAATGGTAATAACTACACAAAGTATATGAAAATAGTTCTTAAAAACCAATCCAATCATGGAACAGGTAAATTTTTCTTTACAGATTAACTAAAAACAATTTGAGATTCAAATTAGTATTTTCAAATGGTTTTTGGACCACACGCAATGTGTAAAGTTCTAAAATTTGTTTTAAGATTTAGTTTGTAACGCGGGATGAGGTTACACACCTGCCATTTACCTCCGCTTGAGATAACGAGTAATAAAACTGAGCTATTACCTATATTTAATAAGGTGGTATTTTTATAAATTTGGAACGAATGTAATTGTTGCCATTTCAGGAACTATTCCCTAATAAAGCATGAAAAATATCTCACCTTATCCTGGGTCATGTAGTCGATGACTATAGGTACAAGGAATCCAGCGATGGTACCGATGCCATTAGATAGACCCATCAGTATGGAGGCGTATCGAGGAGCGATGTCGAGATGATTGACGTTGTAACCTGATATGGCGAAACCGCTGCAAGCTACTCCAAGGGTCAGCTCGATGGTGGCTACGTACTATTGTTTGAAAAATAGAAAATGTAAGAAAAATAAACGAATTAATCTTCAATTTAGATATCACTAAAACCATCCTAAAATTATTAAAAAAAAATTATTTTTTATTTTACAGTCATATGAAAAGTTAAATGGTAATGGTAATTTAACCTCTGTGACAATGGAAGATGAATCAGCAAAAGTATGCAAGTATGCACCTATTATTAGTATCCAGAATTGGAATTTAGGTTTTATTTATAAAAGCAGACTACACTTGACCATGTAACGGTTTTACATAAATTAAATTTGATATTTCTTTGTTTGCTTATCATCAATGCGGCATTTTAGTAAAGGTATATATTAAAGAACCATAAATACAAAAGCGGACCTACTGACGGTACACATTTAACTTCAAAAAATGGTATCACTAAGGACAATCGCTCATTATATTTGGAGATAGTCCCAGCAGAGAGTGATCGGGGTTTTACATACCTTGTTATTGGCATAAGCGACGAGTACGAAGAAGAAAGCCTCCAAACCGAATCCACCACAATTAAACAGCTTCCTCACGTTTGTCGTGGTCATAATATTGTTCTTACGTAAATAATCAGCGAGCATTCCTCCAATGGGCACCAGTGACGTCATGATCAAATGCGGAATCGCCCCCACAAAACCGGACTAAAAATTGTAAAGCTGTTTTTAGTATTGGCCCGTATTCATGGAAAAATTTGGGTATCCTTAAACTATAGACTAACCTCGGTTATCTCCATTTTAAATCTGGAATTAAAGTATGCAGACTGGAAAATCACCAGTAAACAGAAGTTCCAAGTCCTACAGAAGTTTGCGACGATGATAGCATATACCTAAAATAAAGAAATTAAACATAAAAAATCCCGATGTTCTGCAATGTTAAATTATCAGCGCCTTCTTTGTCTTTGTTCTACTGAATAATTCAGAAAATTTATCGAATACTCACTGGAGGAGATGTGGCAAATGCTTTCCAAGGTGTAGCAAAAAATCCTGGCATCGCGGCCTGGGTGGCGGTGCCAAGCGATTGTTCAATATACGTCAGCTCCTTCCCGGTTATACATGGATGTTTACTGGGTTTCTCGAACACCAACCAAAGCCAACACGCATACCTTGAAAAGAGATTTTTACTGACAGTCAGGCTTGTGGTAAGGTGCATCGTAAGCCCGCAAAAGTATGTAATGCCATACTTCATATTTCAGCCGCGAAACAGTCATAGCCAATACAACTAAGACTTGGACCTCATTTAAACCCGTCCATTAATCTAACTAATAAGTTACATTTAATACAGAAATATTCAATTTATATCAAAAACAAGACTGTGATAATTTGGCTTCACCGATCGTATAATTAACATTATAACTTACCAAATAATTCCAAATGTACCATAAAAGTAAAATGGCGCCTGCCAACCAATGTAATCTGCCAGTAACCCAGACAATGGCATGCCAATAACGATGCCAGCGTATGTCCCACAAAATGCTAGTGTTGCCAAACGAGAGCGCTCGAGTGGAGGTGCCCACATCCTCCAGATTCCGTGGCAAGAAGGATATGTAACGCCCTACGACATAAAACCTTGCGTCTTCAATATGTTTCGAAGATAGAATTCAAGAATATCGAATATCACATAGTAAATTGTTTTAGGAATATGTTAAGTACTTTTAAGTCCAATTTAATTTCTAATCGTCACTTTTCAACAAAATAATTTTAAACTTTCAAAAATCATGATCAGGCCCAATTAAAACACCAGTTTTATAAAATGAAAATTTAACACGACCTATTTGTTATAACTAAAAATTAACACTAACAACAGCATTGACTTTACGAAAATTCTAATCAAACTACAATATACAGAATTTAATATTAATTATATTTAAGTAATATCAACTAGAGGTAAATAGATCCTTCGCAAATCTATTGTATTAGACAAACAATGAGAAAGCTTTTGTGTCTTTTTTTTATATATGTATCCAGTTTTATATGTGTCGAGAGAAAATATTGTATCGTTTAACGAAATAGCATTGGCATTGAAGAATCAGCTAAGCGGGGATATACGGAAATGCGTAACCATGGCAACCAAGGGCTCAATAATCTTAGAAGCTTTGTACTGCGACAAGCGATCTCGACTGGAAGTACTTCAGAGCGATTAAGGAGAAATAACGGGTCTTTGAAACGTTCAAAATCATTATCAACATTAAATCCATTCGTATACATTTTATGTGGAACTTAAGCCTTATTGGATGTGTAAGAAAAAGTCGTTGTAATATTGTATTCGCAAATATTACGTTATTTTTATTAGATAATACTAAATATTCACGTTTTAATTATGAATTCAATGAAGTGCTGTATAGTGATTTATGAATGAAATGTTTAAATGTTTTAATAATTTTGCTAATTTTAATTTTAATTTATATCTACTAACATAGTTATAAGTATTACTCTACTTATAACATATGGACTTAAGATGGTCTGAATTAAATGTTTTTTATTTAAATCATATTAAGCAATTCGAATACTGAGACAAAAGCTATGCTTTTCATTATTAAAACAAATCTATGCTATGAAAAAGAGCTGCTTGGAAACGAAAAACACGTTAATACATCATACTATGGTATTACTGTGTCAAGAAAATCACAAACTGAACATATTTAGACGTTAGATTTTATTGGTCACGATGCTCATCTTACAATAACATGCAAAATTTACTTTACATTTATAAAGGGGCGATCAAAACGTGACAGTGGATATATTTAACACGAGACAGCAGAACGCACAACCGAATTTAATAAGCTTCATCATGCGCCATCACGCGCTGAATGTCAATTGTTACAAATTTAAACGTTTCACTGGTAACGAGACATATGAGTTTCACTTGTGTTATTTATCTTACTAGAGGTCCCGCAGTAGTCGAAATTCGACTATAATTAATTGGAATTGTAAGTTTGTACACTATTACGATTGTATTTTATACTTCTATAATCACAAATTTCGCAAAGACTACACTATAAAAATATATTAATAAAGACAAACAATATTTAATCTATTCTCAATTTGACCACAGACGTCAAGAACAAAAGTTTGACAACAAATAGGATGCATGCATGTGTGCGTCAAATACATGGTATGTAGTGTGTGTAATGTTTTCTTTATTGATTTAATGTATCTTTTATGCATTATTTTAAAAAATATATTAGCATTGTGCACTTCTTCTCTATATTCTCTATAAGTGTGCAAAATTTTATATTCCTCCATCCGCGCAATTTTCGTAAAAAGGGATACAAAGTTTTTGCTTCACGTATTAATATATAGATAAAATCTGACAATTGTTTGGTGTGTCGTACTGGTGATTTAAAGGTTTAATTATATTGAAGTATAGACGAGTTAACGTGGTACTAAATGGTTACGTTAGTACATAAAAGCTACGCTGTTGTCACTATCACTGTCACTACCGATCAGCTGTCACTACCACTAAATTGTTATATTTAAGTTTTTAATTTAAAAACAATAAATCGAAGACTTACTTCAACGAATCCCTGAGCAATTTTTAACATGACCACAGCCGCAGGGCCTACAGACATAGCGCCAGGAATCGCCATGTTCAACAATGCCGATAGCACAATGGCAGCCCCGAAGATTTTGTTGGCCGGATACATGGAGGCTAAGTAGCCGCCTGGCACTTGAGTGATGAGGTAGCCGGCGAAATACGATGAATCGATTGACGATTCTATTTCGAGAGTCCATTGAAATGGTGCGTCAGTGTCCTAAAGAGGAAGTACTAATTATGAAGACTAGATCACATTTTTGCACATCCATAACTTATCAGATATTAATATTTATTTAATATTATTTACAAACAATGATATTTTTTCTTTATTTCAAATTATATGACTGTTTTTGGTCCAAAGTTCGAATTTTCAACACGTTGGTACAATGAGTGTCAGACTCATCCATCCAAACCAACCTTATTACTATACAGCAGGTGTAATATACTTACGTTGCGCCCTTTTCCGGTCATTTTCAGTTTGGCCATACTCATATTGCAGCGCATTCCGAACATGATGCTGAAGCCGAAGCAAGCCAACAGGGCTACAGTATAACGCGCACTCAGGCATGGACATTGTGCGCGGACGTACTTATCTATAAACATATGTGGAAGTTGCGTAAACCATATTTTATGTCATGATAGACGAACGAGTGGCACATCTCGTGTTATCGTGGCCCATAGTAACAGCTTGAGACGTGAGGCTCAATACTTGATCGTATTGCATAACGGCTGTCCCAAATGAGGACGATTCTCAATGGATCGCGATTCCAATCCGATGGTAGATTCAGCGAAGCAATCTTAGCACAAAGTCTCTTAGGTTGAACACCGAACTCGCACCAGTTTGGTGAAGCCAGAATAATCCCCCGATGGTACGTACTGGTGATAAGGTAAAAAAAAACCGAAAAGCATGACTGCTTCGCTCCAATGATTACTGAAATTTTTGGGTGTTTGATGTTTAATTACACAATGTTATTCCTACATTCAACCCTCTTAGGGTTACTACTGGAGATATAACTCCGGAGGATTAACTTTAGACAGACAGTCGATTGTTAAACAGCATTATAAGAAGACATGCTGCGCCAACCTCGCATAATGTAAGGGTAAGAAGAAGAAGAAATAGAAGACTCCTACATTCGTGAATACGTGATTAATACGCTGTTTTTCGGTCGTCTTATCATTTAGGCTCCAATGACTTACCACTACTTAATATTATAACGTAACTAATTTAAATTCATTTATTTAGCATTAGTAGAGATCGCCTAATGGTTGAAATTACTGACAGTAATCAATGGCACCTCATATTTAGATTTTTTTATTTATTATTACATTTCCTCGTTTGTTTTGTCATTGGCTTTTTTCCCCATTATCTTGAAGAAGAGAAAAATGAACAGTGCTGTTTCGCCTTTGCCTATTTATGTATAGATAGATATGCACAAAAAAAACCACAGATTTTATTTGCACTAGAGACATTCATAAATCTTAAATTTTGTTGTGCCAACATTATCTGTATTAGATGGGTTTTGGTGCATTAGCACTCCTCGGGATGGATATTCGTAGGTGAAATTACTGCATCAATTGCTTTTAGAGAAATGGGCCTTCAAACTGAAATTCGTGATTGCTTTGCGGAACAGCTTGATATGAACCAAAGTAGGTTCGCAGAAAGCTCTACCAATAGTAAACTATATTATACCTATGGGGCGTGGTGGGGGCCTGTCCGGTGATGGTGGCGTTTCCAAATCATCGCCGTCGTACATCTGGTAGCCTTTCTGGTCAACATGAAAGTTTTCATATTGGCTGTTCCTGAAACAACATTAATTGTAGAAAATTAAAATTTGACACATCACGACTTATAAATGCATCTTATAGGATACGCCAGCTGCCCTTGACCTTTTTTACGCAATGACGCACTAACTCCTGTTGACAAATTTGCGACATCCTAACATTTTAACAAATAAATGTTGAAGTGAAGAGGTAAAGTACATCCACAAAATTATACCTCATTAAACCATGAATTGTAGTTATACACTTTTCAGTAAATAGTTCTATATTTATCTCATGTGTACACCAGATATGAAATTCCCTCGGGTCACCCTATATTAAAAGTATCAAATTTGTAAAATACGCTATACACTAGACAAGAGCTTGCAACACACCAATGTGTCGCGAACAGAAGTTGAGAGCAACTGGTCTACTCAACCATCGGGTTGAGAGCCGCTGGGCTACTTAACCATCGAAACGTATTGTTTACGAGTCGTTACAAAACTATTAATAATTAATAGTACTTTTACGGCTTAATTTCGCTTTTGTGATTATCATTTTATTACTAGTCATCAGTGGTCACGGATGACTGATGGTGTTGTTCGTGCACAAAAAATGTGAAGTATTTGAAAAGCTGGAAATAGCGTAATGATAAAAATAAATGGAATTAATCTGTAAAACTAGTTTTAATTATGTCTACAACTCGCAAAAACTAAAGAAAAAACAGTATTAATGTAAGTAGATATGACTTTACAGCCTCTATAATTATTCTAGAAAAAGTTGATGAGTGCTAACTAAATATTACTGTAAGCATTCTAAGGAATTTAATATAGGTACTAATGAATGAAACAGTAAACAGGTAGAATACATAATTTTGTGTATACCAGCCTATCTACGGGTATTGTCAATGTGGCACCGACGTCAACTATGTTTTATTAATAACATGCATTCAAGTGTTCCCTGGATTTTTTCACCGGAATTTTTAAGGTTTCGATGTATGTCTTACAATCTATTTAGAATTGTGATTTCAAAATAATTCATTTAATTTCCAAACTTCTTCTATTAATAATTAAACTTATATGTTATATTATTTATGTACTATAATATGCTATGCTTTTAAAATTATAACAAGTTCAACGCCGAGTAAACTGATTTGCAAACTTCAGTACTAATCGTGTTTGTAAGCCGACAGGAGAGTTAATAAGTTTATTCCCGGATGTTTCGCTCCATTTTCCCCTATAATTAAAGTCGATACGATGCGAGCGCTGTGCATCGCGCAACAAAATAAAATTAAAATGTTCACGCTGACACTCTAGACTTGTCTGCCGCACGCTCCCTGTGATATCAGCTATGGAGCACAACTTGTAATAAACGAAACAGAAATTAGCAAAATCTGGGATTCGTTCTAGTGCAATAAAGGCATTCGTGGGTTAACATACTTTAGAATTGGTAATGTTGAAACTTTACCAGATCAAAAACAATTCCTGTTTATATCAGAGACTTTAATTTACTGGTGGTAGGACGTCTTGCAAGTCCGCACGGGTAGGTACCACCACCCTACCTATTTCTGCTGTGAAGCAGTAATGCATTTCGGTTTGAAGAGTGGGGCAGCCGTTATACTGTAATAAGTGAGACCTTAGAACTATATCTCAAGGTAGATGGCGGCATTTATGTTGTAGATGTCTGTTGTCTCCAGTAACCATTTCACATCAGGTGGGCCGTGAGCTCGTCCAACCATCTAAGCAATAAAAAACAAATAAAAAAATCTTGGGCTCACTGAGTTTCTCGCCAGATCTTCTCAGTGGGTCGCGTAATTTTCCGGTGTTAGATTTTGCGAAGCACTGCTTTTGCTAGAGATAGTGTTAGCAACGTCCTCTGGTTAGAGCCTCGCGAGCTCTCCTACTCGTCAGGTTACGCTGGCATAACCCTCTAAGGTTACCAGCTTATGTAGAAAAAAAAGCAAAAAGGAGACTTTTTTCAAGTCTCGTTGAAATTTGGAATGTCATACCAACCACCAAGAAGACCCAGAAACCCTTGGACCCAGTTACGGGTAATACATGATTTAAAGAACCATCTCAAAAACTTTCTCAGAGCACACTTTCCGTGTAAAATATGGTCCAAAATAAAAAGCACCAGAATTTCTCCGTGGAATAAGAGGCTCAAATTATAATCTGTGACCTAAATAATGTATATACCATTGGCACTACTCTTTGTATTATAGAAGAAGAGAAGTTACAGAACTCCAAGCAGAATTAATTAAACCATTCTTTTCCAGTTTTCTATTACTTTAACTACGCTCAAGAACCAAGCAAAGAAAAGTTCAATTGCTGGAAAAGAATTCTTCAGTTTCTAAACTATGAAGACTTGAACTTAAAGTATAAAATTTAACGTCATGGATCAATCTACATTCAATGTAAATATCCATCATCCATAACAAAGAAAAAAAATAAAATAAAAAAATAAAATTAAATCCTTTAAATTTATACGCCTCTACGGGTAGGTACCGCCGTGAAGTAGGGCCAATAAACAATATATTTTGACCTCATGTCTCAATGGGGGTGGCTGCATTCGCGTTGCATATTGGCTGTATATTTTGGACTCCGGTAACAGTTTGATACCACGTGAGCTGTGACCTGATTCAACAATTAGCTGTCATATAAAATGGTGTTTTATTTTCAATTTTAACATTGATTAATATCAGGCACCGCCAAATTAACAACTCACATTTCGCTATTTTTATTTCACATTAAAACAAAACCGCACCGGGGCGCGAAGACACCATAAAGTTATCGGCGTGTAAATTCATTTTTCCGCTGACAAAAGTAATAAATGCGGCTATCTGTTCCCGTCCCCTGTTTAACTACGATGGTAATGAATCGACGCATAAAAGGCATAACCAAGTGGAACGGACGCGCGACGCCGCCGCCCCTGTATACTCCATCCGCGCGCTAATGCGTTTAGCTGACTGGACGAGATATCTGCGTCGACGGTCGCATCAATCAAGATCATGATTTCAGCTAAGAACGTAAACGTCTACACTGGGTGTCCTGTTCGATATATTATTTCTCGTACGTTCCCAGATATGAAACAGCAATCTATATACATAAAAATGAATTGCTGTTCGTTAGTCTCGCTAAAACTCGAGAACGGCTGGACCGATTTGCCTAATTTTGGTCTCGAATTATTTGTGGAAGTTCAGAGTTAAAAAGGTAGATGAATATGGAAATGCTCGGAAATAAATAAAAATAACAATTTTGTTTTTCCTTTGATATGTACCCCCGTCGGACGCATTCCTTTTGTTTGTTTTAAGTTTATTTTATACAAAAGTTTAGATTTTTTATTTATCGATTGAGGCACTACAAAGTTTGCCGAATCAGTGAGTAAACTATAAAACTAAAGGGAACGGAAAACTTCAAATTCTTTTAAATTCATATTTGGTTGAGCGCAGCACACAAAGTTTTGTGTTGTACTTTTTCGGATGGGCCTCAAATACGTAATTGAAGTTTTCCATAGAGCATGGCTTTTAATTTGAAAAAGCCGCAATATGGATTTCAAAAGTCATATGTTGGTGCGAACCGCGTCCCGTAATGTACTGGCGTTAGGGCGATAAGGTAAAACTTCAAATCATTACATTAACCAACCATAAACCAACCATGATACAGTAAACCTTAACATCCAAATAATTAATAATGTTTTAAATTGTCGTTACTAGATTTAATTTTTGACAACTATGAAATAAAAATCGGATTACATTCAAAGAACATTTCAATAAAAATCCAATAAATATGTTTTCTGCACCTTAATTACTTGAGACAAATGTTTATATAGACTCTAGAGCAATAAAATAGAAAAACATTACCACTTATGATTAACAGTTTTGTTAACAAAGCTCCCCCTGATTGCCACACAACCTTTGTTCGGTTAATGCACCCCGCATTTTATGACTATAATTATGTGACGTTACTTAAAATGACGTAATTTCTGTTTGGGACAGTTTGAAAGTTTTCTAATGAATATAATTTTATCAAGATATAATACCGTCCAAATAATGAAATGTTTAAAACAATATGTATCTTGTTCGTTTATAATTTGATGGTATTAAATGGAAATTGTAAGTATTATTCGTATATCAGACGTTTACCCACGCCAAATTTATAATTCAGAATTAGTGAATCAATTTTCTGGGATTACCAGTTGCTTGTGTTAACTGTGTGATCCATAAGGTACGAATTGATTTGTAGATTAGTTAGTATGTAAAATCGTGAATCAGTGAGCACTGTCATTTTTATTAGACTAGACTTTGCCTTAGTTATATCATTTATATTTGTATCCCATGTCTGGAGTCTCATCAATTAACAGTCGTAGCATACTTGCCTTGTTTTCTTAGCTTACTTCAAAATTAAATATGTTCCTCTCCTACTATGACCCTTGAGCCTTGATCCAATTGTGACAGAACGTCTACTGGGTTCGCACGGATGGATACGGTACCACTTTAAATTCTTGAATATTATTCCGAAAATTTTTTTGAAAAAAAAAAAATGAAAGCTTTGTCATAAGATCTTGGTACTTTAGCTTTACGCATTTCAGTATTGCACTCGCTCAACGTATTGGAATTTAGTGTCCGTTCGAACAATTTCGCTTACAAATTGCGTTACGGCTGGCCGAGTTCGAGATGAGTAGTTAAACTTGCGAGCAACTTTGTTATTAGTGTCGCTCGCGGCGAGTTCTACTTCGTTCTTGTCACTTTGTGCTCATGCAAAGTTACTTGTAGCGAGCCTCATTACCTTTATACTTAACTAGAGAAGTCTTCCTTTTGTTTAGTTTTCTTTGTAGCTCTTCGATTTTCATTTCTAGTAGTTTCCTATTGTAGTCATCAATTAAAACCATCGTGATGTTGTTTGTTGGTACTCGGGTTGTAGATGTATTTGTTATTAACGTACATGTATATTTCTAGTATCCATTACGTAGGCCAAAACTTCTGCTTGGAGCTGTTAAATATGGAATGTTCGGGAGCAATGTCCTCTTTCTAGATCGTTTAGGAG